GCAGACTATCTTCAGTTGTGTATCAAATACGGAAACTTTTAGACTACTGTGATCTCGAAACCGCTTTAGTTTTCTACAGAGGTAACTTCGAGAGTCTCTTGCGTTACTCCATTCTCGTATGGGGAAACTCTACGAGTGCAGTCAGAATTTTTCTGATTCAAAAGAAAGCTGTTCGAGCCTTGCTAAAGAAATCTAAATTTCAATAATGCCGTGAGTTGTTTAAGAAACTGAAGTTACTACCCCTGGCATGTTTATTTATCTTAGAGTCTGTTGTTTTCGCAAAAATTAATGAGACCAAATTTAAAAGGAATCTTAATTATCATAGTTATGACACTAGAAATAAAGATAATTTCGTAATCCCATATCACCGTATTAAAAAAGCACAACAGTCAGCGCAATACACTAGTGCTATTTTGTTTAACGCCCTCCCTAAAAAGGTGAAAGAAAAGCCTCTTCCTCTATTCAAGTCAACCGTCCGGGATATATTAGAGGGCAACTGTTTCTACACGGTAGATGAATTTTTAGTAGCTAAGCTGGCAACAATTAATGTCTAAGAAAAATTGTTAATATATACATTATTAATGTTTGTAAAATTGTGTGTGATTTTAAAATGTATGCTCTGTTACGGTTCGGTTTACTATAGTTGGCTCCTCCTTTCTGGTTACATTTTATATTGAATAATTAAGTATGTACATATTGTAATTAATTGACATGTCCTCCTGTTCTGTACAATATGAGGCGAAATATATATTATTATTATTATTATTATTAATAAGTAAATTCAAAAACAAAAAATATTCATGGCTTGGCGGTTACTAATATGCATACAATAAATAAGGAACTAAAATCTACTGTTATAAAATAACAAAATTTTGAATTTAAATTTGGACAAAGGAGAATCAAATATCGATATGTTGCTGTTGTTCGAATAATCATTTGCAGCTAGCATCATTCTATGTAAAGGATGATTACGACCTATATTTGACGTAGATGGTGCTACCCTAAAAATATCTTTGCTTCGAGTTGTGCGGCTGTTGACGGCAGGGTACAAGAAGGAGAGTCTTGATAGCAGCGATGGATTGTCAATACGACCATTTAATATCCCGTGCAGAACACAAGCATCCGTTATATATCTTCGAATATATAGGGGTTGTATATTAAAATGATGTTGAATCCAATTGTAGTCGCCTTTAATATGTTTGAAGCCAACTTTAAATTCAAGAGCTCTCAAAAATTTTTTCTGAGCATTTTCTAGCAACACCCGATCAACATTATATAAAGGTGACCAAACAGGTGAACAATAATCTAAGTGTGTCCGAACTAAGGAGCAATATAAACTTTTGAGGACCAAAGGTGAAAGCTCATGACAATTTCGCCAAATAAACCCCCACATGTTCAAAGCTTTTTTGGAAATATAGGAATAATGACTTTTAAAGGAAAGTGACGAGTCGAAAATTACTCCTAAATCCTTAATCTGAGTCACACGTTTAATACAACGCTTATTCAGTTGGTACTTAAAACTGATGTTAGATTTTATGTTAAAAGTTGACATAATATAACACTTATCTAAATTTAAGGGGAGTAAGTTGTTACAGCACCACTCAAAAAGCATGTCAAGATCTAATTGTACTTGTTCTAAATCTTGTGTATCTCGAATGACTTTAAAGATCTTTAGATCGTCCGCGTACAACAAATAATTTGAATATCGTAAACACTGCGTTAAATCATTTATGAATAACAGAAATAGAACGGGTCCGCAATGAGTACCTTGCGGAACACCAGATGGAACAGAGAAAGACGATGAAATAAAGTTATCAATGCGAACTTGCTGGCACCTGCCTGACAGAAAAGATGCTAACCACTTAATAGTGTTATCTTTGAAACCAAGTTTATCCAGCTTTAAAAGTAATAGTTTATGATTAACGCGGTCGAACGCTTTTGCGAAATCAGTATACACTGAATCGACTTGCAAATGATTAACCAATGCTTCGTTTAGAAATGATCGATATTCAAGGAGATTCGACAATGTGGACCTGTTAGAGACGAAACCGTGTTGTTTAGATGAGATAACTGAAGACGAAGCCCACTGAAGTTGCCTAGTTACAATGGAATCAAGTAACTTTGGAATTGCTGATTGACAACATACACCTCTGTAATTTTCAACTATATTACGTTTACCAGATTTAAAAATGGGCATAATGAAGCTGTTCTTCCACATTTTAGGGAAAATACCAACCCTCAAAGAGGTTTCAAACAACAAAAGCAGTGGTGAACAAAGAGCAAACTTACAGTTTTTTATAAGGATACTTGGTATACCGTCAGGACCTGGACTGCACGAAGATTTCAATTTAGAAATTTCATCGAAAATATCAGACAAACAAATCTTTAGACCCATATCATTTACATCGTAACTGGATTTGAAATCACAAACAAATTTATTGGAATCATCTTTTACGTAAACACTTGCAAAATATTGAGCAAAAGCATTGGCTATCTCTTCCCCACCTTTAACACATTGATGTCCAAAATTCATTTCGTTGGGGATGTTAGATTCTCCATGTTTTTTACTATTAATAAATTTCCATAACAATTTCGGATTACTCACCATACTACGATTGACGTTTGAGATGTATTCGGCATATACCTTCTCAATGAGTTCATTACACCGATCTCTCAAAGATTTAAAATAAAGGTAGTCATCAAGTTTGCCGGTGTTTTTAAATGTGCAGTGAGCAGTGGTTTTCAACCGACATAATTCTTTAAGTTCTTTATTAAACCAATAAGGGTATTTACTAGTTTTACGATTGATCACTTTATAGGGAATAAATTTCACTATGCCATAAAATAAAATCTCATAAAAGATAGCAACTTTTTCGTCAAGATTTTGACCCACCAAACACGATTCCCAGCAAACAGATGAGTAAAAATGGTTTAAACGTTCATAGTTACCATTAATAAAATCAAAAACACGAAAATCAGATTTCAAAGAAGGTGCAGATAAACAGGAAAGAGACCAAGAATAAGGAGAATGATGACAACTACTAGGAAATATGGGATCTAATGCAGAGCAGACATCAAGATTATCAACGTTTGAAAATATAAGATCTAGGAATACATTTCTCATATTAGGAATTTTATTAATTTGCGTCAAATTCATTAGAGCACATGTAGAACTAATTAAATCATATTCAAGAGAATTGTTGAGACCACATTCACCATCATCATTCCAATCAATATGTGGTAAGTTAAAATCACCAGCAATAACATACGACGACTCAGGAAAACGATCAAAAATTGATTCTATGTCTTGACAGAAGTTAACATAAGAAGTAAAATAACTTGCAGGAGGGATATATACTCCACCGACAATTAAGTTTAAATCATGAGATTTTACATGGATTTAGTCGATTTCATCTTTTTTTTTGTTGTCTGTTCGGCATTAATGTACTTGCTGCTGGAGAAATCCTGCAGGAATTCTATAACTAAACAACACAATATTTTTCAATTCAATCAATGTTAATATCCTGTCGTCAGGACTTTTTTTTATGTTCTTGTAGTACTGTTTTTGCGTTTTATTAAAATCGTCGTTATTATTATTAGTTTGAAATCGTGAAGTAACTGCTCATTCATGATACACACTGTGATGAAATAATTTTTAATCATATTTGCTTATCAAACAGATTATTATCATGAAAATTGTAAACATTTTTTCAAGGCGGTATCGTTCTTGGAAACTTGATATAAAAAAACCCTCAATTAAACGTACCTACTCATAAATCAATATCCATTGTTTGTTAAAAATTTAAGTTCATCATCGGTTGTAATAGTATTTATAAATATTATATAGAAAAGAAAAAATACCCCCAAAATAGAACAATACATAAATTTTGCATTCAGGTCGTAGGTTTTTCACTCTCGAGATTTAAAAAACTGCTTTAAACTGCATAAATCGAACTGAAACGTTGTTTCCGCAAATTTCTAAAATATTCATACAAAAGATGACGTGTGATGTGATTAGTCTAAAAGGAAAACACATTCACTTTATAAGTTCAATCTTCAGAAATTTTCTGAAATTAGAGCTGAAATACCATGAGAAGAATATGTTACTCACTATAATCTTGTCAGGTAGACTTTAACTAGTGACGAATCGTTTATGTTATAAAATCACGGGATTCAAAAAAATATATTTCAAATATATTTATGAAATGAATCACTGTTAAAGGAAAGCACAGAAAATACTTATCCACGACGAAAAGACAAAAGGAAACTAAACACGGAACAGAATGACGAACGTCGCTAACGACATGGCCGGTAGAGTTTCCTTCCCCTAAATTGAAAGTGGACCCGTCTGGACATTTTTACGTCTACTGCGACCTTCTAGTGGTGTGTAATATTTCAACTTTCTGCAAGCAATCTGTTTCTAACTTAACAGATCTCGTATTTTTGAGAATGATAAATTCTAGATATTTCTATTAAATTAAAAAAAAAAAAATTAACTGAAAATTCTTCGGTATTTTTTCCGTCTTTTTGCAAAAGACTCACTTGTAACGTGTAATTATGCACTTATGAAATATTTTGCGAATACGTTTAAATTCAAGGATACCTACTTGAAAACAATTTGTTGCCAATTATACCGTGAGTACACGAGCATCATACATTTAAGCGTAGCATTTTCAGTGTCGCCCGTAATGAAGGCAACTTTTTTTAATTGATAATTTCCGCGTTTTTTATTATTATCTGAATACAATAACAAGAAATTTGCATCTAAATTCTTATTTTGAGAATCTCTTTAATAATGCTCGCAATTATGTTGCCACATCACCTAATTGCTGTAATTGGTAATTTAGTTGCAAATTTTGTTATAAATTTTGCGATCAAATAAGGGTCTAAAAAATGTAATTTGATGCATCGACTGAAATCTACGCCACTGCGAGACACACTCAGACATTCACATGGTTATCGACATCATCTACACAAAGAAACGCTTCCGCCGCACTCACCCAAGCCGTACTCCTTCCAGTGTTCGACTATACTCCAATTCACGCTCTTCGACACCCGATTCTTGAGAGCAAGAAGCTGACACAAGTCGCTGACGCACAAATTCCTTTCCACTATAACCGTCTGGAAGCTGCCGTCGTCATTATAGAAGACAATTTCTTCCTGAAATTACACAACAATAGTGAAAATTTCGAAACGACCTTCTCAAAACAACGCCACCTCCTTCTCGTTCGTCGCATTGTCCTTATCCTCGGATACGATCTGGTAATCGAGGAAGTTCTCGTTGAGGCGTTCGTAGCCCGACGTTTCGGCACACACGCACTTCATTCTCGGAAACCGGCACCAATCTGAAACAAGAAATTTAATATAAAACTTGTGATTGTAGTTGTTTCCGACTAACTACAAGTGATTTGTAAGCGGGACGAAGTTTGGCTGGAGAAAGAACCAATCGCTTGTAATATTCCGCGAACATATCTGTAGTTTATTAGTTTTTCGGAGCGCATGATTTAAAATGAAAGGAAAACTTCGAGAGGATGTGATACGGAAAAGTTATGGGCGGAAGGAGGAAACACTTGACATAAATTTTCGCGTTAGTTTTATCGCGAAATTTTCAAACTATCAATTTTGATCGGTTCGGGGGGGTTTTCGGGGGCGGAATCATCAGCATTTGCGGACGGATCGTCAAGGATACGATGCACTTGGTGGAGTAGTTATCAATGAACGGTTGTAGAAATGTACAACTTTTATAGTATTTTTTCTGATAACGGTTTTTCTAGAGGTTATCGCATTCTCAAAAACTCTAATCTGGTTCTAGGTTGGCGATAAGGACTTTGACGTCACGCTAACGCAACGGGTCAAATGGTCCCCAATTACTACCAAATTTTTCTCTTTGTTACATCAATAGTGCTTTTCCATCGAAAACTAGACGTACAAAGCAATGACCTTTCATTTCAAACTATACGACAAACCTGAGAAAAACCTTTCGTAAGTTGCAATATCAATTTTTCTTTTATTTCCAAAACAAGTACCTCAAAAAAAATTGTTGGTACTACGAAACTAAAAATCTATTTTTGAAATCGTAAAAACATCAAATTATTGGCACCATTGCGTCACAACCCATTTTTCGAAATTCAAAAACCGACTTACAAAATTTTTTCAACGCTTTGGAAAACATCGCCGCCTCCGAATGTCTAACGCACACTTTCTTTTCAACACCAACAACTGAAACCCTCGAATCCATTTTGACTAACCGCACAAGAGCCAACCCAAAAATCGCCCCAAGTTTCGCCACATTCCAGCACTAAAACTGAACTAAAATTGATACGAAGACCGAACTCTTGAACATTATCAATTCAATGCTTACGAAATGCGTTTTTTTAAACAGTGATTAGTATTTATAGAATAGATAATACTACATTACTATAAAAACAATATAACCAATTGCAGGAAGATTATTCTTATAAGGAGGCCACTACGAAAAAAATGTGTTGCGAGAGCCGACTTGATAAAGCACTAAAAGTATCAAAATAGGAAGTGAAAAACGACGCTTTTTCGGAAAAAATGTAATTTTGTAACACTTGATAACGAGTTCACATTTGTTGATCGATTGGAACAAATAATACACACCCTATCAAAGTTCACAAGGAACTTATCAATTTCGTTACAAGGTTACGCTGCCGGAAATTTTTTAAATTTCATCTAACACCGAGACCTTTACAAAAATGCGCGCAATTTACGGTTAGTTAATCATCCGTTTTTGCCGTCATAATATTGACAAACAATGCGACTGACCGTGAATGTTAATTGTTAACCCAAAAATCAAAAACATGGTTATCTTCGCTCAATGCTTAATTACTGAGCAATTTGAATGGATAATGAGGCCGGCCCTGAATTTGACTCTTTTAATGGGTTGTTATTGAATCCTCCCACCATGTCTGGACGATTGTTAAAGTGACTAACTATCAATTGTTGGTTATCAAACGTAAGAATTTAGGTTTCGCTGACGCAGTGAAGAACATACAACAGGAAAAAACAAAGAGTCAACGGCTTTTAGATCAGTGGCAGTTAATAGCTGAGCTGACGTCATTAATTTTCCGGAGGGGATTAGTAAATGCAGTCTACATTCGTTAAATTAAAAACATATAAGTAATATTCCACGACAAGTACGGCACCAAGAAAAAACAAAATGAGCCATTTGTGGAAAAGACTTGCAACATTTCCTTTAGTTATCGGTCTAGAAGTAATAAATGTCCAATAAAACGTCTTAATCGAGAGCGTGGTATAAAGGAATGCACTTTGCCGACCGTTTGATCTTTCGACCACCTAAATTAATAAACATGTCCTTTTGAGTAAGTAGTTCGCTCTCCGAGGAGGTCCTGTAAAAGGATCGATTTCAATTAAAGGCCCCCGAACTACCCAAAACGTCCATTTTCCCGACTAATCCAATGAACCGGTTTTCCAGCAAAACCCAATTGATTAATTATACGTTGATTGTAATTATATTCCATAAAAAAATTTAAACGACTTTAAATTATGCAATTATGTCTTTAACACCTGTTCTCGTATTAACTTAAGCGATTTATCGCCGCAAATAGATGTGTTTTGCCAATTATGGTTTCCTTAGTCATTCCGATCGTGCACGTTTGGTGTATGAATGAGTTTGATTAGAAAGTTTCGCTTAATAAAAGAACCAAACAAAGGGAAAATAATGTCGAAATGTCGTCATAAATAATACCAACAAAACATAAACACAACATCGTTTCATTGACAGTGATGAATTGGTACATTATTTCATCATCGCAACTGTTACGTACGAAATTTTTGCGACATTTCACGGCACAGTTTCAAAGGATCCGCTCGTAAATAAAGGATGATGGATTCGCGATCCGCCAGGAAAGCGAAACTTGTGCTGATGATCAAATTTGCGTTTGGAAGTTCTATTTTTGGAAAGCGGAAATCGCTATTGAGAGATGCGAGTTTAATTGTTTCAAAATTCAATTAAGAATTAATGCCGGATTTTCGAAACTGGGTTCCGGATTGAACGGGAACAGCGGTGTCTCAGTTGTACTGTTATCAGGTTTAGATATTCGGTTCGAGATAAATTTTATCTTCTTTACATTACTTGCAGTTGCATCCTCATCCCATGAGTTCGTCGTAAGATAGTGCATTCTATAATTAACTCGATGGCACGTGTTTCACCCGTTTCAGCAAAAATACTACGGGAGATAATAAAGGTCTTGTTTTCATAGTACACCAGCGTAAATATTTCAACGCCGATGCTTTTAACGTGCAGTTTTAAAGCGCTGGAAAATGCGAGTTTGTGTGTCAGTGTCAAAGAAAAAAAAACACGGAAGATGCTTCATATGAAAATGTTTTGCTAAACTCTACGATAAAGATTAGCAAATTCTAAACAAAATCCGAAATTATGACAGGATTTTAGTTTGAATTAAAATAAAGATAAAAATAGTTTTAGTGAGTACAGTTTTGACAATCAATCTGTTGCTAGGTCGTTACTGATAAGATATATGTACTAAAAGAATGATGATAAAGAAGAAATTTTGGAACTTTTCCTTTTTGGAATATTTTCAAGCAGATGCGGTTGCAGTCGGTCCCGTTTTCGGTATAATAAAGAGCTTGAATTACATACGCGATTTGAATGCAAATTGCGTTCACCTCAGGTTACCATAATTACATGAAAAGTGCAAGAGAGATACAAGAATGGTGAGGTGACTCACGAACGTGAGAGTAAGGCAGATGCATGGTATTTACAAGTTCCGAAAAAATATATAAACAGAAACCACGGGACTTTGTAACCACACAGACTCAAAGCAACCTTAATCAATTTACAGAATCGATTTCATTAGTTGCTGCATACAAGAAACTGTGAACGTTTTTACTGGAAAACATTCTTTTAGATTTCGGATTTCAAGCTATCGAAAGATATTAACCAAAGCACTAGATTATGTTCATTAAAATTAAATTTGTTGCATTTAAGTTAAATCCATTACATGACTCGAGTGAAGTAACTAATTTCTTTGAACTAAATTGTGCTGAATCATTAACATACAGAAATGTCCTTGCAGTTCATTCGTGCAGGCGATGACGTCAACAAAGTCATTCTTTTTCCAGTTTTGTCATAAAAATAAGCATAATTTCACGATTCCAACAAAAAAGTGCTTTTTAATGCAGGTCAGTGTATTCATTAATAGCCCCTGGAATTCTTCTACAAATAGAAACTGGTCAGTAGATAATCAAGTGTATTTTAATTTTTTCAGTTGCATTTTTATTCACAAATGGTCAAAATCTTAAGAATGCAGCAGAAAACTTGATGTTTATTTAAATTTTAGCTCCCAAATGTCAACCAAGTTTATTAATGTGAGACCAAACGTACAGGTGCTCCATGTTTCATATCTTTTATTTACACATCTATTTCAATGTCATTGATATCATTACAAAGCGTTTACCAAAAAACCTGTTTCTGCATCGTGATAAATTTTCTCAAATATGCCATCATCTCAGCATCAAGTACAAATAACGCATTCCTTGTATGTACATTTCCAGTTAACCTACATGATATTTGGAAATTTATAAGAATGTAGATTAGTCGTGATATAATTTCCCACATGCACACGCCGGCTTAATGCAACTTTCGAAAAAAAAAAATGCAACCAAAGAATCACGAACAGTAATTTAAAAGAATACACGAACAAACAAAACATAATTATTTACCTTGTAGTCTGTCCATTACGGCAGAGGCCTGAACGCAAAACAGCATATCTAGACGTTATCACCGACACGAATTAGATTTACAACTGACAAAATTGGAACGAGAGTACAGTAGATTGTAAAAAGTAGATATGTAGGTGAACGAAAAAACCGAAAAGACGCGCCAAAAATAGGCAACACACAAAACCGCTACTTTCGCAATAAAACTCATCATCAACAAACAAAAAATTATCGAAAGCGAAATTCCCGGACCAAAAATAGAAGCAACTATCTTAACACGCCTAACGAAGACAATTAACGAAAAAGATATCTCCTATTGTTCCAATTTAAAAAATGGCCACAACCGATAACAGATAAGCCAACTCGTCACAGACTTGAGAAACCACTCGAACGCTGCTTAGCATCCAAGAAATGCCAAAGAACGACGACCAAAATCGGTTAATTGCATCGGCCGAGTTCAAGAAACGCAAGCATATTTTTTTCTCGGGAGGCATTTCCCTTTGGACTGACCCTGCGACGTCTGCGAGCCTTTGTCGGTACGCTACAAACGACCTCTTCGTCTATCTGGGACTGCTTGTTTGGTAGACGAACCGAAATAGATTCGCCGAAGAGTTCTAATCTA